TCAGATGAGTCCGTAGAGCCGTACCCAGAGCTTGTTGGCTGCCTCATGTACCTGATGACCTGCACACCAACTGACCTTGCATACCCTCTTAGCATCTTGGCACGCTATGTTGCTCTTGGGAGACACCGACCAGAGCACATGGCTGCAGCGAAGAGGGTGTTGCGCTACTTGTGCAGTACGTCGGGCATGGGGCTAGTGCTTGGAGGGCGACGTCCAGTGGTCCTCACAAGTCATGCAGACGCTTCTTGGGCTGACGACCAGGCTACGCATCGGTTGTCACAGGGTTACACCTTCAGCCTTGGTTCCAGCTTTGTTTCGTGGCGTTCTACTCGCTCTTCTTCTGTTCTCGGCTCCAGTTGTGAGGCTCACCTACCTGCTGACTGACCTAGGAGAGCCGCCTCGTTCTCCTCCAGTTCTGTACGTAGACAACAAGGCCATGCTGGCCTTGTGTTGGGAGCACAGACTGGAGCACAGAACGAAGCACATTGCTCTTCGCTACTTCCTTGCTCGTGAGCTGCAGCAGCGTGGTCAGCTGCGCCTTGCTTACGTGGCCTCTGAGGCCAACACTGCTGATATCTTTACCAAGGCACTTCCGCCTTGTGATCATCAGCGCTTCTGTACGATGCTAGGTCTTGTGCCTACTTGGCCTCACTTGCTCACTTCTTGACCTTGCTTGTACTGTGATCTTTCTATACCTGCACTTGCTTGTTTACCTTAATATATGATCTTGCATGTGAACTGGCTTTGTGGCCTTGAACTTGTGCTCGGACTGTGTGGTGACGTTGTGATCCACCCTGAGCTTGCTTTGCTTTGCTTGACTGGTCTTGTGACCTCTTGTTCTTCCCCACTTTGCCTATGGGGGTGTGTCAAACTTATATGCTATAGTTTGTGTAGGCTGTAGTGGGATAGACAATATGGGGTACAACATTTCTAGCTTTTCCTACTTGTACCCACCTCTTTCCTAGTTCATTCATTCCTCATTACTTTTCATGGAGTACCGCGACTTGACTATTACCCTGTTGAGCGCTCTGTAATCGATGCACATGAGAAACCCTCCGTCTTTTTTCGGTGTGAATATTATCGGTGCGGCGAACGATGATGAACTCGGTCGGATGAATTTCTTCTCTAATAGGTAATCTACCTGCTTCCTCAGTTCGTCGAGCTCGGGTTGGGTCAGTTTGAACTGGCGCTGTACGGTTGGCTATGCCTTCGGTCATGTGCTCGCTGAGGTGGCAGTCCCTCCGGCAAATCGTCAGGAAAATTCCCCGGGTATCGTTTCAACAGTTTTTGTAGTTCGTGCGGTACCGCTGCCAACAATTTCTTGAAATCACTCGGATGCTCTGCTTCCTCTACCACGGTAATATCTACTGCGTACACGTCAGCTCCAGCGGCGACAGCTCGTTTCATGGTGACGGCGTTGACGTGTTCAGTTGAAGACTCAGGCGACTGCCAGCGAGGTAGTTCGACCCAATTACCACTACTTCGCACAGTGCAGCTACCCGTCGTCCAGTCAATTTGCGGGTTATACTGTTGCAGCCAATCACATCCCAGTAAAATGTCATGCCCATCCAGTGTCGTCGCGAGCATTTCCCGTGTAAATCCGAAATCCCCCCCGCAGCGGATTTTGACTTTCTCCACCTTTTCCCGTATGGCCAGTGGCGTGCCGTCAACTAAGCGTGTTGAACAAGAATGAATGAACTAACAGTGAAATGAGTACAAGCATGAAAACCTAGGAATGTGTACCCCCTATAGGCTAACCCACTGTGGCCTAAACAACTACAACAACATATATAATGTTTGACACACCCCCATAGGCGAAGTGGGGGAGAACTAGGGGTCACAAGACCAGTCAAGTAAAGCAAAGCAAAGCAAAGCAAGCTCAGGGTGGATCACAACGTCACCACACAATCCGAGCACAAGTGCAAGGCCATAAGGCCAGTTCACATGCAGGAGTACATATGTATATATAAGACTAAACAAGCAAGAGCAGTGATATATATATGTAACAGTACAAAGAAGGTCAAGAGGAGAGCAAGTGAGGCAAGACAGACACAAGACCCAGCTGGGTACAGCAGCGCTGATGATCACAAGGCGGAAGTGCCTTGGTGAAGACATCAGCAGTGTTGGCCTCAGAGGCCACGTACGCAAGTCGCAACTGACCACGCTGCTGTAGCTCACGAGCAAGGAAGTAGCGAAGAGCAATGTGCTTTGTTATGTGCTCCAGTCTCTGCTCCCGACACAAGGCCAGCATGGCCTTGTTGTCGACGTACACGACTGGAGGAGAACGAGGCGGCTCTCCAAGGTCAGTCAGCAGGTAGGTGAGCCAGCGAAGCTCCTGAGCAGCCATGGCCCCGGCGTAGATCTCAGCCTCACAACTGGAGCCGAGAACAGAAGACGAGCGAGTAGCCCGCCACGAAACAGAGCCGGAACCAAGGCTGAAGGTGTAACCCTGTGACGACCGCTGCGTAGCCTGGTCGTCAACCCAAGAAGCGTCTGCGTGTCCAGTGAGGACCACTGGACTCCGCCCTCCAAGCACTAGTCCCATGCCCGACGTACTGCACAAGTAGCGCAACACCCTCTTCGCTGCAGCCATGTGCTCTGGTCGGTGTCTCCCAGGAGCAACATAGCGTGCAAGAATGCAAAGAGGGTATGCAAGGTCAGGTCGTGTGCAGGTCATCATGTACATGAGACAGCCAACAAGCTCTGGGTACGGGCCACTCGACTCTACGGACTCATCCGAAGGCAGAGCTGAGAGCAAGTGGCGAGTAGACAGAGGAGTGGCCTGAGGCGAGGAGTACGTGAAGCCGAAGCGCTGAAGGTCCTGCTGCACCATGTGTGATTGAGTCAGGGTGATGGTGCGGCGTGCTCTGTCCCGGGTGATCTGCAAGCCAAGGTAGCTGCGCAGTTCACCCAGGTCAGTGCACGTGTGTCTCTTCTGCAGCTCGGACTTCACGTAGGCGAGTCCAGTAGTGTCAGCTGTGGCAAAGACCAAGTCGTCGATGTACACGAGGATGTAGAACGGCGGCAGAGAGGTGTCGGTGCGCAGAAACTGCGACGGGTCGGCAGTAGAAGGAGCGAACCCAAGAGCCGCAAGCGTAGTCCTTAGTGTGTCGTGCCAATCACGTGGCACCTGGCGGAGACCGTAGACGGGACGCCGGAGACTCCACTGGGTACCAGGAGGGAAAGATCCAGTGAAGCCAGGTGGGCGGCGCAGCCAGATCTCCTCGTGCAGGCTGCCCTGCAAGAAAGCTGTGCTGAAGTCGAGAGAGTGCAGCTCGTAGTCCCGGTGAGCAGCAACGTGCAGCAGTACCCGAAGAGTGGTCATCTTCGGGGTGGGGGAGAAGGTCTGAAAGTAGTCAACTCCCTGTCGCTGACTGAAGCCACGAGCCACGTAACGCGCCTTGAAGACAGGTGGAGAACCCGACGGCCGCTTCACCCTGAAGATCCACATGCCACTGACGATGTTCGCCCCAGGAGGGGGGACAGCGTCAACGTAGGTGCCTGTGGACTTCCAGGAAGCCATCTCTGCATCCATAGCTGCCTGCCACTGAGAGGAGTAGGGACCCTCTATCGCCTCCGCGTAAGAGCGCGGAGTCGGGATGTCAAGTGCATCCGGGTCTCCCTCAAGGGTAAGCAGTACGGACACGAGATGAGGTGAAGCACTGGCCAAGCACTGGAACTCCTCCTGCCTGTCCTCAAGGACGTCCGTGCCAAGGGCACACGCACCCCCGACGGACGGAGGACAGACAGACTCAGACTCAGCGACAAGACTTGCAGCGTAGTCTAGGCGACAGCGAGCAGCAAAGTCGACGAGCTCAGCAACTAGGGCAGACGCAGCAGAAGACTCAAAGGAAGGGTCAATGACGGTAGTAGCAAGGAGACGCGTGACAGTAGGACTGGCAGCACGAAGAGAGTCCGACGCAGGGTCGGCGAGAGCAGGAAGAGAGGACGCAGGAGGAGAAGGCAAAGGGGCACGCAGAGGAGCAGTAGACGTACGTAGAGACATCCGGTGCGTGCCAGGGGCAGGAGGAGGACGCTGGCGCGAACTACGAGCACTAGCGCTAGCAGGACGGACAGGCGACGCAAGACGAGACGCAGACTCACGACGCTCAGTAAGACCGCCAGTAGGACCAGTGTAAGGAGAAGGAGCAGGTAGTGGGGAGGCCGGCTGCAACTGTAACTGTGACGGGACAGGCTGTGAACACGCTAAGGGAGGAGGACCAGGAGGAGGCGAGAGACCAAGAACCTGCTGAAGGAGCGGAACGAAGTACGGCTGAGGGCGCGCGGCGACTCCAGACACAGCAGGGACAGCACCTGTACCCCCAGCGGCAGTACCAGAACCAGCAGCAGCTCCAACGCCCAGGTCCTCAGTACGAGCCTCAGCACCAACGCCCGAGTCCTCAGCACCAGCAGTGGCTCCAACACCAGGGTCCACAGCACCTGCTGCAGCTCCAACGCCCGGGTCCTCAGCACCAGCAGGGACTGCGACACCAGGGTCCACAGCACCAGCCGCAGCTCCAACGCCAGGGTCCGCAGCACCAACTGCAGCCCCAACGCCCGGGTCCTCAGCACCAGCAGCACCTCCAACCCTCGGGTCCGCAGCACCAGCAGCAGCTCCAACGCCAGGGTCCGCAGCACCAGTAGCAGCTCCAACGCCAGGGTCCGCAGCACCAGCAGCAGCTCCAACTCCCGGGTCCGTAGCACCAGGGGCAGCCGGGTCCGTAAGACGAGGCGCACCACTCCGAAGTGTGCAACGGCGCTTGTACCACTCACGGATCCGCTCATGAGAGGGGAGCTCCCGACTAGGAGGAGAAGTACCAGCCCCAGTCCCTGTAGTGCGCCTGGTCCCAGAGGTAACACTCCGAAGGCTCCAGTACTATAAGCACCACTCATGCAACTGCTCCGAGGAGAGGTCTCGTCCAGGTGTAGCACCCTCAGGCCCAGCACCGCCAGGCTCAGCACTCCCAGTCACCGCACCCCCAGGCTCAGCACCCCCAGGCTCAGTACCCCTAGTGTCCGCACCCCCAGGCTCAGCACTCCTAGAGTCCGCATCCCCAGGCTCAGCACCCCAAGAGTCAGCACCCCCAGGCTCAGCACCCCCAGTCTCCGCACCACCAGGCTCAGCACCCCCAGCAGGACGAGAGTCGACAGCAACCTCAACAGGCTCGACCGGGTCTACCTGAGACACACCTGAGGGAGCGGCACCCTGAGGGGGGAGGGGGTCTACGACAGCAGCACCTTGCGCGAGGAAGAGAGGCGGGGGTGGGAGCGGGGCAGTGCGGTAGGGGAAGAGGCGGTAGTAGGGGACAGACTCGTCAAAAGTGACGTCCTGAGAGGGCAAGACCCGGCGCGAGGTGGCGTGGTAAAACTGCCAACCAGGCGCGTCCGGAACAAAGCCGAGGAAGACGCAGGGAACAGCACGAGAGGAGAGCTTGTCCGCAGACGAATCGCGGACAAAAGCTCGAGATCCCCAGACCCGGAAACGCGACGCATTGCCAACCTCCCCCGTCCACAGCAGTGTGGGCGAGGTCTCCGGCAAGGAGACACGGGGCCAGAGGTTGAGCTGATGCGCAGCGTACCGGACCGCAAACGGCCACAGAAAGTGGGGGGCAGCCGCATGGATCAAGGAGGTACGAGCGACCTCCATGACCAGGCCAATGCGGCGCTCCGCAACCCCATTGTGCTGTGGAGAGGCCGGAAGCGTGAACGACTGCTCAATGCCGTGCTCAGCACAGTAGGCTGCCAAGAGGTCGGAGGAGAACTCACCACCTCTGTCAGAGTGCAAGCGCAGGACAGGAAAGTCCGAGCGGAAACGCTCGCTGAGCTGGAGACGAGCTCTGTGGATCCAAGGGATCAAAACATCAGGGACCTCACCCTTGGCGTGCAAGGGGAAGACCGTGGTGTAGCGCGAGTAGTCAACAACGATCAGGAAGTACCTCTCCTGACCCTGACCACGGACGCGGGCTGGGCCCCACACGTCCATGTGGAGCGTCTGCAAAGGAGCAGTCGTCGGGGGAAACGAGGAGGAGTGAGGAGCGGCGCGCTGCCGCCCCTCAACACAGGGAAGACAGGGAGGAGCAGGCGAGGGTGGGAGGGGAGGGAGGACCCTGGGAAGACCAAAGACAAGGTACCGGGAGTGCATGGCACGAAGGCGCTGCACAGACGGGTGGCCCAGTCGGTGGTGCCAGAGGACAGTCTCGTGCGCTAGAGAGCGACACGAGCAAGGGGCGGACAGCTCACCTGACGCTAACGCAGACGCTGACGCAGCGACCTGAGGGGGGGCAGTAGTCAGTGTGTACAGGTCCGACCCCGGCTGCCGGGTGAAGGTAGCCAAGTGGCGGCCTGTACGGGCACACCTGCAGTGTGTGACACGCTCGTAGGCAGGGGTGAACTGGTGAACACCCGCGTCCTGTAGTGCACAACCTGCCACCAAGTTCTTAGAGAACGAGGGGAGGTGGAGACCTGACAGTGTGCTCGACGGGACCGCAGGACAGGGAAGGACAGTGGAGGAGGTCGCAAGGACCGGACCCCCAGAGGGGTCAGCGAGGGAGATAGCAACTGGCCGAGCAAGGGGCTCAAGGGCAGTGCGGACACGAAAGAAACAGCGAGAGGCACCTGAATCCAATGTGAAGGTGTGCAGTGCTGCAGTCGACATAGTACTAGGGGGGGCAGACGTACACGCACCTAGAGCAGCAGCCTCACCAGCACGTGGGGTAGCGGACACGCGAGTACCTGGAGCGGCAGACGCACTAGTCCTAATGCCCGGGTCGGGCGGGACACTCAGGTACTCAGCCCCCTCTCCACTAGTAGACATCACATACATGGCAGTGAGAATAGCATCAAAGTCTAAAGCATAAATATCAATCCCCTTCTTCAGGAGATCAACCCAGCGGGGCAGCTCAGTGGCCTGAGGGAACTGAACACGCCAAGCGTCGTTCAGACGAGCGAAGCAACGCTGTGTGGCGTGCGGTCCCCCACACGGCTGGCCAGTGCGGTCACCAGTGCGAATGACGTACGTGCAGCTAAGGCCACCCCCCCCCCCCCCCCCCGTGCTGAGAGTACCACTCACGGACCTCCTGGGGCGACGGAGTGTGCTGCTGGCCCTGGCCACCGCCAGTGCCTCCACGACCACCACCGCCGCTACCACCTCCTCGACCACCCCAACCCCGGCCGCTGCCTCATCCACCGCCACCCCCACCACCTCCTCCGCCCCGGCCACCTCCCCCGCCGCTGCCGCCACCCCCCCCACTGCTGCCACCTCCCCCACCCGCGCCACCCCCCCCGCCACCACCACCTCCCCCACCACCGCCACCCCCGCTGTCACCACCACCGCCCTTGCCCCCCTTGCCCTTGCCACTGCGGCGCCCACTCGAAGCAGACGCAGTCCCGACCTTCTCAGCACCAAGGAGGTCGACAGCAGCAGCAGAGGCGACAGAGGGAAGAAGGGGGGAGGGAGAACACCCCTCAAAGAACGGGGTACGGGGGTCACCGCGAGAGGCACCTACAGCGACTATGCTAGCCTCAGCTGCAAGGAGTTCCTTCTCGAGGAGGGCAATGGTGAGCTCGGTGGGGCAGCGAGCTAGGAAGTGGTCCCTGACTGAGCGCAGAGTGTCAGGGAGGCGCGTGACTAGGTGGTAGAGAACAACAACATATATAATGTTTGACAAAGCGTGCATCTATCTCCGATAAACACCGGCTAAGTGTCAGTTGCAGTTTCTGTGCGGTTGCGGTATTAACTAAACTGTGGCTTGCTCCTCCATCGATAAAAATCTTTACTGCTGCTCCCTGTATTTTCCCGTGGATCAGTACTGGGAAAACCGTCGCTGTACCCTCCTTATTCGTCCGAGCCCAATCGATAGCATGAATTGGTACTGTGACTCGGTGAGGGTCGGTGGGGTTGGGCGAGCAGGCACTCTCGTCAGTAGTTGGCCCGATTCCTACTGACTGCTGGCGTTTCCCTGCCTTAGAGACTCCCTCCCCTGCTCTGCTTTGCGGCGCCTCAAATCCTCTAGGCACTCACTCTTGCGATGGCCTGGCCTATTACAAGCAAAGCAGCGCCCTTTAAACGGCACGGCAGCTGCATTTGTCGCAACGGCATGTACGGTGGCGTGCTCGATCGGTCCCCGAGGGCGATGTCCGTAGTAGGACCCCGGTCTCAAACGGCGCATAATGTCGATTTTCTCAGCGAGCACGAGAATCTCGTTTAAATTTGAGAGTCCGTGTAGCATGATTTTGTGCGAGATGTCCGGATCCAGCCCTCCGACGTAACGGTCCATCCGTTCCGCTTCGTGCATGTAGCCGACTTGCTCGCATAATGCGAGAAAACCGTTCGTATATTCTTGAACCGACCCGAGCTGCCGCCAAGTATGCAGTTTCTGACGCGCCAAAATAGAATTCGCGATTGGCTCGAAGCGCGCCCGAAGCCCTGCGCACCACGCATCCCACGTGCTGTACTGGGCAGTTTCGCAGAATGAACTCCAGGTGACGGCTGGACCCGCGTGCCCTTCCTCTTGCGACGGTGGCTCGTAGGCGCGTGGCAATGTCACAATGACTTGCCACCAGTCCATGGCGGGAAACCTCAGCAGCGAGATGGCGTATCTGATCTTCGCTCCATCCGTCTCGATGTAGTTTGCGTCGAAAAATACGTTCATCGTGAAGATCCACGACTGAACTGTCGGACCTCCACGCTGGCTCAGGTCAAAACAGGGCGGGCGTTGCGGCTTGAGTGGCATTGGCGCCATGATGGCGTGGTCGCCACTTGTCGCCGCAAATTCCACGTGCCGACGGGCTTCGCGAGGCTCCCGCGGGCTTGGCGCTACCCTATTCCTCTCCATGCCAAGGATTGAGTGGGCGGCGCCATCACTGGTTGCGCCTGAACGCTGTCCCACGGTGTCATTCTGTGTCGGTGTGCCTGATGAAATGATGATCGGCTCCTTCGATTGTGCAGGTGCATTTGCAGGTGCGTATGGCACCGGAGTATTCACCGTGGATTGCTGACGCGCGGAGTCACGTTCCGCCGTGAGCGTCGCAATTTCGAGCGCCGATTGTTCAACTTGGCGTACGAGATGGTCGAGTTGCTCCTGCGTCAATGTCGCGAGAGTGAATTCGGCCATGGCGGGGGTGTCGGGCAAGCTCAGCGAGAGCCTCTCTCATGGCCGGGTGTGCTTACGAGAGAGCACTACGAGCGGCGGTGCTGTGTCGCTGAGAGACGTCTACCCCCCCTAAAAATTGAGATAGCGGGGAAGCGGAGGTGTGGGTGCGGTCCGAGAAGAGATTGTATGCTCTGATACCAAGTGTTGTCAAACTTATATGCTATAGTCTGTGTAGGCTGTAGTGGGTTAGACAATATGGGGTACAACACTTTTAGGTTTTCCTACTTATACCCACCTGTTTCCTAGAGCATTAATTCCTCGTTCGTTCACATGGTATAGAGCAAGTTCCCTAGTGGGAACGTTTCCTAGGGCCCACCGAAAATCGTTTTTTTTTTTCCTGCCCGGAGCGCGCTTCGCCCCTTCCCGAGTCGCGCCCCGTGTGCCTGCCCTCCCGTCGCGTCCCCTGCCCTTAGTGGCCCGTCGCGCTCTCTTACGGCCCCGTAGCGGCCCCTCTTACGGCCCCTCACGGCCCCTCTCACGGCCCTTCGCGGCCCCTTCAGGCCCCTCGCGGCCCCTTCGCGGCCCCGTCGCCGCCCTTCGCGGCCCCGTCGCCGCCCTTTCCAGCCCCTCACGGCCCCTTCTCGGCCCCGTCGCCGCCCTTCGCGGCCCCTCACGGCCCCGTCTCGGCCCCGTTGCTGCCCTTCGTGGCCCCTCACGGTCCCGTCTCGGCCCCGTCGTTGCCCTTCGCGGCCTCTTCACGGCCCTTCGTGGCCCCTTCGCCGCCCTTGCCAGCCCCTGTTGGAATCACTGAGCAGGAATGAATGAACTAGCAGTGAAATGAATACAAGTACATAACCCTAGAATTGTGTACCCCCAATAGGCTAACCCACTGTAGCCTAAACTAACACAACATATATAATGTTTGACACACCCCCATAGGCAAAGTGGGGGAGAACTAGGGGTCACAAGACCAGTCAAGGCAAAACAAGCTCAGGGTGGATCTCAAGGATACCACACAAATTCCGAGCACAAGCAAGTGGTCACAAGACCAGTTCACATGCAGGTTTATAATAGAGCAAAAGGTACAATGATCACAACCTAACAAGAGTAAACATGCAGGTATATATATAGAGATCACAGTACAAACAGACTCAAGAAGTAAGCAAGTGAGGTCCAGTAGGCACAAGGCCTAGAAGAGTGCAAAAGCGCTGATGGTCACAAGGCTGAAGCGCCTTGGTGAACACATCAGCAGTGTTGGCCTCAGAGGCCACGTAACGCAGGCGAAGCTGACCACGCTGCTGCAGCTCTCGAGCAAGGAAGTAGCGCGGATCAATGTGCTTCGTTCTGTGCTCCAGTCTGTGCTCCTCACACAAGGCAATGGCTGCCTTGTTGTCGACATACAGCACTGGAGGAGAACGAGGCTGCTCTCCAAGGTCAGTCAGCAAGTAGGTGAGCCAGCGTAGCTCCTGGGCCGCCATGGCTGTGGCGTAGATCTCAGCCTCACAACTGGAGCTGAGAATAGAAGAAGAGCGAGTAGAACGCCAAGAAACAGAACCAGAGCCAAGACTGAAGGAGTAACCCTGAGACGACCGCTGAGTAGCCTGGTCGTCTGCCCAAGAAGCGTCTGAGTGCCCAGTGAGAACAACTGGGAATCGCCCTCCAAGCACTAGCCCCATGCCCGACGTACTGCACAAGTAGCGCAACACCCTCTTAGCTGCATCCATGTGCTCCTTCCGGTGACGGCCGGGAGCGACATAGCGTGCAAGAATGCTGAGAGGGTATGCAAGGTCTGGTCGAGTGCAGGTCATCAGGTACATGAGGCAACCCACAAGCTTTGGATACGGGCCACTCGGCTCTACGGACTCATTCGAAGGCAGAGCTGAGAGCGAGTGACCGGTAGGCAGAGGAGTGGGCTGAGGCGAGGAGTACGTGAAGCGGAAGCGCTGAAGGACCTGCTGCACCATGTGTGACTGAGTCAAGGTGATGGTGCGGCGTGCTCTGTCCCGGGTGATCCGCAAGCCAAGATAGCTTGTCAGTTCACCCAGGTCTGTGCACGTGTGTCTCTTCGACAGCTCAGACTTCACGTGGGCGAGTGCCACAGTGTCAGCAGTAGCAAAGACCAAGTCGTCGACGTACACAAGGACGTAGAACGGCGGCAGTGAGGTGTCGGTGCGTAGAAACAGCGACGGGTCAGCAGTAGAAGGCGCGAACCCAAGAGCCGCAAGCGTAGTCCTCAGTGTGTCGTGCCACTCACGAGGCGCCTGGCGAAGATCGTAGACTGGTCGTCGGAGGCTCCACTGGGTACCAGGAGGGAACGACCCAGTGAAGCCAGGTGGACGGCGCAGCCAGATCTCCTCGTGCAGGCTGCCCTGCAGGAAAGTAGTGCTGAAGTCAAGCGAGTGGAGCTCGTAGTCACGCTGAGCGGCGACGTGCAGCAGAACCCGAAGAGTGGTCATCTTCGGGGTCGGGGAGAAGGTCTGGAAGAAGTCAACTCCCTCTCGCTGACTGAAGCCTCGTGCAACGTAACGCGCCTTGAAGACAGGCGGAGAGCCCGGCGGCCGCTTCACCCTGAAAATCCACATGCCACTGACGATGTTCGCCCCAGGTGGGGGAACCTCGTCGACGTAGGTGCCTGTGGACTTCCAGGAAGCCATCTCTGTGTCCATGGCTGACTGCCACTGAGAGGAGTAGGGACCGGCCATCGCCTCTGCGTAAGAGCGTGGGGTCGGGATGTCTGGTGCATCCGGGTCTCCCTCAGGGGCAACAAGCATGGACACGAGATGGGGCAAAGCGGCAGCAAAGCACTCAAACTCCTCCTGCCTGTCCTCAAGGACGTCAGTGCCAAGAGCACACTCACCCCCGACGGACGGAGGACAGACAGACTCAGACTCAGCAACTAGGCTAGCAGCGTAGTCTAGACGATAGCGAGCAGCAAAGTCGACAAGCTCAGCAACTAAGCCAGACGAAGCAGCAGACTCAAGGGAAGGGTCAGTGACAACTGTAGCCAGGAGACGCGTGACAGTAGGACTGGTAGCACGAAGAGAGTCTGACCCAGGGTCAGCAAGAGCAGGAAGAGAGGAAGCAGGAGGAGACGGCAGTGGGACACGCTGTGGAGCAGTGGACGGACGAAGCGCCATCCAGTGAGTGCCTGGGACAGCAGGAAGACGCTGACGCTGGACTCGACTACTAGAGAGAGCAGTGCGGACAGGCGACTCAGGACGAGACTCAGGCGACGCAGGACGAGACGCAGGCTCACGTCGCTCAGTAAGACCTCCAGTCGGACCAGTGTAAGGAGCAGGACCAGGGAGAGAGGAGGCAGACGGTAACGCCGACTGCAGCTGGACAGGCGGAGGACACGCTAAGGAGGGAGG